CCCCCCCCCCCCCCCCAGCCTCAGCTACTTACACCCTCAGCTCCGAGGCGCAGTCCTCCTTGAGCATCGAATCGGCCAGCTGCTGCAAAAGAGCATCTTCCGTGCCCACCAGCTGTCAGGGAGAGAAGGCGGCCTACTGATGCCTGGGCACAGCAGTCCCGCTGGAGGGCCTGGGGATCAGGCCACAGACCCAAGACCGCTCGACTCCCAGGATTCCCGCTCCCACGCGCACGACGCCGTTTACCGAGAGAGGGCTCCGCCAGGCCCCAGTTGAGGGCCCAGAATGCACCCGCTCCAGTACTGTCTGCACAGCACTTCTTAACTGCCCCAGACTCTGCCTCGGATGGCCGGACCCAAGAGACGCTGGGAAAACCATTACCTGTCCGGCGCTGAACACAGCTTCCCGGGTCCCAGCCCGGCCAGCCGCCCCACCAATCAGAAACCGGAAAAGAGCCCTCCGCGCATCTATTGGTGGGGGCGTCCTTCAGACTCAGAGGGCGGCTACTCCGATTGGTTCAGAATGCGGCCCTCCCGCCCACCACACCCCAGCCCGAAAAGCGCGCATCAGAACCTCAGAGAGGCCAGAGGGCCAGACAGACGGTGGAGGCCCCGCCAAAGAGGAAAGGCGGTCAGGGGAAGCGGAGCAGCTGACGCCTACCAAGATGGTGGCCGTGTTCAGGCCAGGCTGCTTATCCAGCGGCCGCAACACCGACATCCCAGTCGGCGGGTGAACCGCAGCTCTGGAAGTGCGCGCGGATCTTTCAAAATGAGGGAGGCCCGCCCTTAAGTGCAAGACCGAGGGTCGCGTGACCATAGTTGGGCGGGGCTTCGCGTGGTAGAGCAACTCTCTTAAAGGAATCCACATCCGCTTTTTTGATGGGGGCGTTCCAGCTCCGGCCCCCAGGCTCTTAAAGTGCTGTCAAGGGGACAGGCCTTGCCTCAGAGAAAGAAGGTGTTCAGTGATTCATTTGTTCGTTTTTGTTCACTAAGGCTCATTCATCATGCTCTTTTTTTTTTTTTTTCTCCTTCATGGTTCTTTATTTTGAGAGAGGGGCGCGCGACGGGGGAGGGCCAGAGAGAGAGAGAGAGAGAGAGAGAGAGAGAGAGAGAAATCCAAGCAGGCTCTGACTCGGGGCTCAATCTCATGTCCCATGAGATCATGACCCGAGCTGAAATCAAGAGTCCGAGGCTTAATGGACTGAGCCACCCAGGCACCCCATTTCATCATACTCTTGATTCCTTCCCAACCTGCCCCTCTCATTTCTTCTTCCCCATCTCATTTGACTCCATCCATGCAGCTGCTCAGAACAAAAACTTGAGGTCATTCTTGGCTCCTCTTCTTCATCCCCCACATCCAACCCATAAGCCAGCCTGCGAGTTCTAGTCTTAAAATGCATCCAGAAGCTGACCACTTCTCACCGCCTCCACTACCACTACTAGGACAAGCCACTGTCATCTCTCACCTGGACTATTGTAACAACCTTCTCACCGGCTCCCTGCTTCCACTCTGGTCCCCAGGGCTACCGGTTCTTCTCCACACAGCAATCTGAGTCATCCCTATAAAACAGAACCTGATCAAAACCCACCAATAGTTCCCATCTCATTCAGCGTACGTTGCAAACGGCTTACATGGACTGTGAGGCTCTATGTGTTCTGGTCCCTGACAATCTCCCTGACCCATCTTCTGCTCTTCTCCCTCTTACACTCCTCTAGCCACATGGGCCACTAGGCTGTTCTTCAAAGTATTCCAAGCATCCTCCCACCTCCTGCCTTGTCCCTGCGGCTCCCTGTGGCTGAAAAGTTCTTCTCCCCCATAGTCACTTGGCTCGTTTCCTCACTTCCTCCATGTTTCTGCTCCAAGGCTACTTTAGCAGAGAGGCCATTCTTAACAACTCTATGTAAAATAGCAAGTCTCAGTGGGGTGCCTGGGTGGTCGGTTAAGCATCCGACTTTGGCTCAGGTCATAATCTCATGGTTTGTGAGTTCGAGCCCCGCGTCAGGCTCTTTGCTGACAGCTTGGAGCCTGGAGCCTGCTTTGGATTCTGTGTCT